GGCGGCACGCCGAAATATGCGCGGCCCATGTGCACCGGCGAGGTTCGCTCGAAGGGGCAGGGCGAACTGCAAAAGGACATCGCCAACCTCAAGGCCGGCATCGAGACGCACGGCGCGGCGCGCGGCTTCATGAACGCGGCATCGCCCGGCGTGATCTCGCTGTTCCTGCAGAACGAGCATTATCCGACTCGCGGTGCCTATCTCGCCGCGCTCGCCGACGCGATGCGCGCCGAATATGAGACGATCGTCGCCGCCGGTCTCGACCTGCAGCTCGATTGCCCCGATCTGGCGCTGTCGCGCCACATGCTGTTCACCGACCTTTCCGACGCCGAGTTCGTGAAGATCGCCGAGAGCCATGTCGAGGCGCTCAACCATGCGCTCGAGAACGTGCCGCAGGAGCGGGTGCGTGTGCATATCTGCTGGGGCAATTATGAAGGCCCGCATGTGTGTGACATCGACATGGCGCCGGTTTTTCCCGTGCTGATGAAAGCCAAGGCGCGCTACGTTCTGTTCGAAACGTCCAACCCGCGCCATGCCCATGAGTGGACCGTGTTCCGCGACCGGAAAGCCGAGATTCCCGACGATCGTATCCTCGTTCCGGGTGTGGTCGACACAACGACCAATTTCGTCGAGCACCCCGAACTCGTGGCCCAGCGGATCGAGCGTTTCGTCGGCATTGTCGGCGCCGACCGGGTGATCGCCGGCTCCGATTGCGGTTTCGGAACCTTTGCCGGCTTCGGCGCGGTCGACCCGGAGATCGCCTATGCCAAGCTGGCCACGCTTGCCCAAGGCGCGCAACTGGTATCGGAGCGTCTCTGACGCCATGGCCCGCGAAACGCTTTGCCTCCTCCCGGGCATGATGTGCGACGGGCGGCTGTTTGCGCCTCAGGTCGATGCGCTCGGCACCGACCATGACATCGTCATTGGCGACATCACCGGCGCCGAGACGATGGCCGGGCTGGCGGACGGTCTGCTTGCGCAACTGCCGGATCGCTTTAACCTGGCCGGCCTGTCGATGGGCGGCATCGTCGCCCAGGAGATGGCGCGCAAGGCACCCGGACGCGTCATGCGCCTCGCGCTGCTCGATACGAGCTTCGGAGCCGACAGCGACCGCCGCAAGGCCATCCGCGACGATCAGATCGCACGCGCGCGAGCCGGCGGGCTGCGCGAGCTCTTCTTGACCGAAATGAAGCCGCACTATCTGGCCGAGGCGAACAGTGCAGACACCGACCTCAACCGCCTGTTCCTCGACATGGCGATGATCCTTGGACCTGATGTGTTCGCGCGTCAGTCGTTGGCCTTGCGCGACCGGCCGGACCAGACCGGCACGCTGTCGGGCTTTGCGGGTCCGTCACTGGTCCTGTGTGGCGCCGAGGATCGTATGTGCCCGCCCGTCATCCACGAGCAGATGGCCGCGCTGTTGCCGGACGCCGATCTCGTGATCGTCGAAGGCGCCGGCCATATCACGACGCTCGAGGCACCCGACGCGGTCAATGCGGCGCTTGCCGCCTGGCTGGCCCGTCCGGCGTAACAACGGAATTGGAGGGTTGCCGGACCGCCGTCACCAAGGCCGCCTGCTGCCATGTGCTGGAAGGTCATGGGCCGGTCAGCGCGGCAGGCGATCGGCCAGCTTGGCAATGGTGGGTTCGTCGACATTGGCGAAGGCCACCCGCAGATAGGCATCCAGTCCGTCGCCGAAGCAGGCGCCGGGAACGGTCACGATGCCCGCCTTCTGCGCCAGATACCGTGCGGTCTCGGTCGATCTCAGCTCATCGAACGGGTGGCGCACGAAGGCGAAATAGGCGCCGATCGCATCGATCGACCAGCCCGCCGCGTGTGCCAGCGCGCCCTGCAGCGCTGTTGCGCGGTCGGCGATCACCTGCCGGTTGGCTTCGCGCCAGCCTTGCAGTGCGGGAATGGCACGCGCCACCGCGGCCTGCGGTGCCCTTGGCGCGCAGATCTGAAGATTGTCCATCACCTTGGCGATCTCGGCGATGACCGGCGCGCCGGCGGTGACCGCGCCGAGCCGGTGGCCGGGAATGCAGAAACTCTTGGAAAAGCTGTAAAGCCCGATGAGCGTGTCGCGCCAGTCCGGCTGTTCGAAAAGGCGGTGCGGCGTACCGGCGCCCGGCGGCAGAAAGTCCCGATAGGTCTCGTCGATGATCAGCCAGACGCCCCGCTTGCGGCATATGGCGAAAAGTTCGGAGAGCAGGTCGGGCGGATAGACCGCGCCGGTGGGGTTGTTGGGTGTGACGATGGCGAGCGCGCGCACGCTGTCGTGGATCGCATCGGCGATTTGTGCCGGATCGGGCAGGAAGCCATGGGCCGGATCGCAGGTGACGGTTCTGGCGGAAATGCCGAGCATGGCCAGCGTCGTCGCCTGGTTGAAATAGTTCGGATTGGTCAGCAACATCGTATCGCCGGGACCGGCCAGCGCCATGGCGGCGGCGAAGAAGGCCTGGTTGCAGCCGGCGGTGACGTGGATGTCGTCCGGCGCGATGTCGGCGCCATAAAGGGCGGCGGACCATTCGGCATAAGCGGCACGCAGGGCCGGTTCGCCCTCGATATCGCCATAGCCGGCGCAGGCGGGAGAGGCCGCCACCTCGCCGAGCCATCCCAACAGGTCCGGGTGCGGCGGATAGCCGGGTACCGCCTGCGACATGTCGATCGGCGGGCCGAGCGCGCCGTCATAGTCACGCGCCCAGCGCATGATTTCGGGAATGGGCGGCGGGGCAACGCCGGCGACGAGCGGATTGAAGGGCGGGTGGGTCATCGTGATGTCCGGAACGGCGCGGTGTCAGGTGCGCTTGCGGGCGGTCTGGCGAACCCGCTTTGCGTTGGCGGGCGACTTGCCCGTACGGCTGCCGGCGCTCTTGCGCAAGGCCCGGCGCGCGACGAGATGCGGTTCGACGCGCGCGTCGGGTTCCTCGATCTGCTCGGTAAGCCAGGTGATGAACATCTCGACGATCGGCGCGGCGCGCACATCGTTGCGGCAGGCCAGAAAGAAGCTGTGAGACGCTGGCACGGCAAGATTGAGCGGCGCCACCAACTGGCCCCGTTTGAGCATGCCGGCGACCGTCAGGCTGTCGCCAAGGGCCACGCCATGGCCGACGAGTGCGGCCTCCATGGCAAGGCGGGCATCGCTCATGAAATGGTGCGGACCGCGCTCCAGGTCGAGCGCATCGGCGGCGGTCAGCCACGTCCGCCACTCCATGCCGTCGTCGGCGTGCAGGATGGTATGTTTTGCGATGTCGCGAACCGACCGAACCGGATGGGTGTTGAGCAATGACGGGCTGACCACCGGAAAAAGGTTCAGCCGCGTCCACAGCCTGACCCAGCAGTCGGGCCAGCTGCCATCGCCATAAAGGATGGCGATGTCGATGTCCGGATTCTGGATCTGTCCGGCGTCGTTGCCCGCATGCACGCTCAGGCGGACCTGCGGGAAGCGGGCGGTGAAATCGGTCAGCCGCGGGATCAGCCAGAGCGACAAAAGCGCCGGAACGCAGGAGACCGAAAGGCTGCCCGAGGTTGCCGGACGGGTCATCCGCGTGGTGGCCGCCGCGATTTCGTCGAAGGCCGAGGAAACCGACGGCAGCAGTTCGGCGCCGTGTTCGGTCAGATCGAGCTGACGGCCCTCGCGGCGGAACAAGGAAACTCCGAGTGCCGCTTCCAGCGCCTTGATCTGGTGGCTGACCGCGCCATGGGTGACCGACAGTTCAAGCGCGGCCTTGGTCAGCGACCGGTTGCGGGCGGTCGCCTCGAAGGCGCGCAGCGGATTGAGCGGGGGCAGGCGGCGTTTCATATGCTGTCATTGATGTGAGAAATGTTCACAGAAATCTCTCTAACAATATCAATTGATTTTTCAAAGGACGCTTGCGACGCTTTCATCGTCAATTCGGCGGTGGAGCGGCATGAACGAAAAGAAGCTGAATGCCCTGCGCGACAAGTATGGCGAGGGCCATGGCGGGCAAATTCACGATCGCGCATTCCGCGCGGTCGGAGACCGTATCTTTTCGAAGGACGGCACGCGCCTTGCTCCCTATGCGGGGCTGCCCACGCTTCTCAGCGCGCCCTACCGGCCGATCGATCCCGCAGCACCCGACCTGTCGGGGCTTCAGGTCGCCCTGTTCGGCGTGCCTATGGACCTCGGCGTCACCAACCGGAACGGTTCGCGGTTCGGGCCCAGGGCTTTGCGCGCCATCGAACGGATCGGACCCTACAATCACGTGCTGGAGACGGCGCCGGCTTTCGATCTGGCTGTCGCCGACATTGGCGACGTGCCGTTTGCCAGCCGTTTTCGGCTCGAACAGAGCCATGACGACATCGAACGCTATGTCGATGCGATCGTCGCCGCCGGCGTTGCCCCGCTGGCCGCCGGCGGCGATCATTCGATCAGCCATCCGATCCTCAAATCCGTCGGGCGTGAACGTCCGGTCGGCATGATCCATATCGACGCCCACTGCGATACGGGCGGCGCGTTCGATGGCACCAAGTTCCATCATGGCGGACCGTTCCGCAACGCGGTGCTCGACGGCGTTCTCGATCCCGAGCGGACAATCCAGATCGGCATTCGGGGTTCGGCGGAATATCTGTGGGAGTTCTCGGCGGAAAGCGGCATGAGCGTGATCCATGCCGAAGAGGTGCCGCATCTGGGTATCGCCGAAGTGGCCCGCCGGGCGCTTGCTGTCGTCGGCGACGGCCCGGTCTACCTGTCGTTCGACATCGATTCCATCGATCCGGCGTTTGCGCCGGGCACGGGAACGCCGGAAGTGGGCGGCCTGACGACACGCGAGGTTCTTGAATTGCTGCGCGCGCTCAAGGGTGTCAACCTGGTCGGCGGCGACGTGGTCGAGGTGGCGCCGCAATATGATGCGACCACGAACACGGCGCATGCGGGCGCGCAGGTGTTGTTCGAGATATTGAGCCTGATGGTTTTCAGCCCGGCCATCGGCGCGATAAACACATAGACGGGACAGACGGGCCATGCGGCGGCGGTGCCGATGCGCCGGGCGCTCAAACGCACAAGGGAGACGATGATGACTGAATTGTTCAACAAGGCGATGCGCCGGCGCACGGTGCTTGGCGGCGCGGCGGCGATGGCCGGCACGTTGGCCATGCCGTCCATCCTGCGGGCCCAGGACCGCTCGCTGAAGGTCGGCGTCTATGGCGGCTACTTCAAGGATTCGTTCGACGCCAACATCTTCCCGGTCTTCACCGAAGAGACCGGCATTGCCGTTGAATCGATCGCCGAGCCGACCGGCGAGGCCTGGCTGGTGCAGCTCGAGCAGGCGGCCCGTGCCGGCCAGGCTCCGGCCGACGTGTCGATGATGGCACAGACGCCGACCCGCCGCGGCATGACCACCGATCTTTGGGCGCCGCTGGACCCGTCACGCATTTCCAATTTCGACGATCTTCTGCCGACCTTCGTCGCCGAATATCCCGATGGACGGCTGGCCGGGGTCGGCGCCGTTGCCTGGTACATCACGCTGGTCACCAACACCGACACCTATCCCGAGGCGCCGGAAAGCTGGATGGCGCTGTGGGACGAGGCCAATGCGGACAAGCTTGGCCTTCTTGCGCTGGTCTCGAACTCGTTCCTGCTCGAGGTGACGGCCAAGACGCATATGGGCGGAACCGATGCGCTCGACACCGAAGAGGGCCAGTTGGCCGCGTTCGAAAAGCTCGCCGAGGTCAAGCCGAACGTGCGGTTGTGGTACCGCGACGAGGCGCAGTTCGAGCAGGCGCTGAAATCGGGCGAGATCCCGATGGGGCAGTACTACCATGATGTGACGGGCCTTGCGGCCGCCGATGGCCATCCGGTGCGGTCGACCTTCCCCAAGGAGGGCGGCATTCTGGATTCGGGCAATTGGTGCCTGTCGCGCGCGTCCGACAGGTCGGACGAAGCCCATGTCTTCATCGACTTCATGAGCCGGCCGGAAACCCAGGGTCTGCTGTCGCGCAAGGTGGGCACCGCGCCGACGCTTGCACGCGGCGTGCTCGACCTGACCGACGAGGAGTTCTCGGCCGTGTCGTCCGAGATCGATCCGATCGTGCCGCGCTACGATCTTTACACGGAGAAGGGCGACTGGCTGAACCAGAAATGGACCGAGCTGATCGTCGGCTGATTTTGCGATCCCGCCCCGCCGCGGGGATCGCCGGGGCGGGGTGCCATCACATGAGTGGGGGGCGCGATGTCGGGCCTTGAACTGCGTGACGTGACCAAGCGGTTTGGCACGTTCACGGCGGTGGACAGCATCAATCTGAACGTTCCGGACGGCACGTTCGTATGCTTGCTGGGACCGTCCGGCTGCGGCAAGACGACGCTTTTGCGCATGATCGCAGGGCTCGAGGAGCCGACGGACGGGTCCATCGTCATCGATGGCCAGGACATGACGCCCGTGCCCACGCACAAGCGCAATCTGGGCATGGTGTTCCAGTCGCTGGCGCTGTTTCCGCACCTCGATGTGGGCGAGAACATCGCCTATCCGCTGCGCATTCGCGGTATCGACAGCGTCAAACAGAGGGCGCGCGTCGACGAGCTGCTGGAGCTGATCCATCTGTCCGGCTATGCCGACCGGGGCATCTCGCAATTGTCGGGCGGCCAGCGCCAGCGCGTCGCGATCGCCCGCGCGCTCGCGCTCTCGCCGAAACTGTTCCTGCTGGACGAGCCGCTTTCGGCGCTCGATGCCAAGCTGCGCGAAGCGATGCAGGTCGAGTTGCGCCAGTTGCAGCAGCAATTGGGAATCACGACCATCGTCGTGACCCATGACCAGCGCGAGGCGATGACGATGGCCGATCTGGTGGTCGTTATGGGCGAAGCGCGCATACGGCAGGCGGCGGCGCCCGTTGAGATCTACCGGCAGCCGGCCGATGCGTTCGTCGCCGACTTCATCGGATCGACCAACCTGCTCGATTTCCGGACCGACGGCGCGGGGCGCCTTGAGGTGCTCGGCGGGGTAATTGCCGGCCTTCAAGCGCCCGACGGGCTGGGCCAGGGGCGCATCTCGATCCGGCCCGAGGACGTGCACATCGCCAGTCCAGGCGAGGGCCATGCCGGCACCGTCACTTTCGTGCGCGATCTGGGCGGGACGATAGAGACGTTTGTCGATATCGGCGGCACGACCATCGTCGCCGTGACGACACCGCGTGACAGGACCGGCATCAAGGCCGGCGATCCCGTCGGCGTCGTCTTTCCGCCCGAGGCGTGCGTGGTGCTTGCCCGATGAGACGCGAACCGCCCAGAAACGCCGCCGATTACGCGCCGATCGTCTTTCCGGGCGCGATGCTGGTGATCTTCTTCGTGATCCCGTTCTCGATCATGCTCGCGGTCAGCTTCTTCCGGCGCAATCCGGCGGGCTTTTATTCGCCCGATTTCGTCTTCGACAATTATGCGCGCTTCCTGTCGCCCTTTTTCGGATCGGTGCTGGGCTTTTCGCTGCTGCTTGCGATCCTGGTGGCCATCATCTGCGTTGCGGTGTCGGTGCCGTTCACGGTCCTTCTGACGCGCGCCTCGCGCCGCGCGCAGACGCTCTGGCTGGTCGCGCTCCTGTCGGTCCTGTCCCTGTCCGAGGTGATCATCGGCTTTTCCTGGTCGACGCTTTTGTCGCGGACCGCTGGCATCACGAACCTGTTCGTCGCGATCGGGCTGATGGAGGCGCCGCGCGCGCTGTTGCCCGGCTTCGGCGCCGTGCTGACGGGCATGGTCTATCAGGCGCTGCCCTACACGATCCTGATCCTCTATCCGGCGATCGTCCGGCTCGACCCGACGCTGATGGAAGCGGCGCGGACGCTTGGCGCCTCGCCCACACGGGCGTTCTTCAACGTGGTGATCCCGGCCCTGCGCAACACGATTGTCGCGACGCTGATCATGGTGTTCGTCTTTGCGCTCGGCTCATATCTGCTGCCGCAGATCCTGGGGCGGCCGCGGCACTGGACGCTGTCGGTGCTGATCACCGATCAGGCGATCCTGCAATCCAACATGCCGTTCGCCGCGGCGATGGCGGTCTTCCTTGTCCTCATCTCGCTTGCGCTGGTCGGCCTGACGGTGATGGCCGGCGGACGAAGGGAGGCATGATGGCTGGCCGCATCCTGCAGCATGTGTTCCTGGGGCTGGTCGGCCTTTTCCTCGCCATGCCGCTGATCGTCGTCGCCGGCGTGTCGGTGAACGAGAAGAAGTCGCTGACCTTCCCGCCGGACGGCCTGTCGCTGGCCTGGTATGGCGAACTCTTCACCGATCCGGGCTGGCGCGGCGCGCTGGTCGCCTCGCTCCTTCTGGCCGCTTTCGCCGCCGCGCTTGCGGTGATCATCGCCCTGCCGCTGGCCTATTTTTTGTGGCGCCGCATCGCGCCCTGGGCCAACATCTTCCGGCTTCTGGGGGTTGCGCCCTTCATCCTGCCGCCGGTGATCACGGCCTTGGGCTTCCTAAGCTTCTGGGCGACGGCGGGCATGTACGGCCAGCCGGTGACGGCGGTGATCAGCCACGCCATCTTCTTCGTGACGCTGCCGCTGGTGACGATCTCACTGGGTTTCACCACCATCGACCGCGCCCTGCTCGAAGCGGCGGCGACCATGGGCGCCGACGACCGCACCATCGTGCGCACCATCATCCTGCCGCTGATCGTGCCCTACATCATTTCGGGCTATGCGTTTGCGTTCGTTCTGTCGCTGAACGAATACATCATCGCCTACATGACGGTGGGGTTCACCGTCGAGACGCTGCCGATCAAGGTCTTCAATGCGCTGCGCTACGGATACACGCCGACCATGGCGTCGGCATCGGTCGTCTTCGTGCTGCTGGCCGCACTGGTCTTCGGCCTGATCGCCCGGTTTGGCGATATCCGCCGGCTTCTGGGCGCGATGCGGTCGGAGGGCTGACGATGCGGGTCGCTGTCCACCAGATGCAGGCCGTGCCCGGCGATGTGGATGCCAATCTGACACGCATCGGCGATGCGGCTGCGCGTGCCTCGGACATGGGCGCCCGAGTGCTTGTCGCGCCCGAACTGGCGCTCGGCGGCTATGGCGCGGGAGAGGCCATGGCCGGCCTTTCGCCCGGTGACGCGCCACTCGTGCATCTCGGCGCGATGGCCGAAGCGCACGACATCGCAATCGTGGCCGGGTTCGCCGAAAAGGGCGAAGCGTGCCTTCACAACAGCGCCGCCTTCGTGACGGGCGGTGCGGCGCCCGTCATCTACCGCAAGTCCCATCTCTACGGGCCCTACGAAAAGGACCTGTTCGATCCGGCGGCGCCGCAAACCGTGATCGTCACCCTTGGCGGGCTGAAGATCGGCATGCTGATCTGCTATGACGTGGAGTTCCCGGAAAATGTGCGGCGGCTGGCGCTGGCCGGCGCCGATCTGATCGCCGTTCCGACGGCCCTGCCGCTCGGGCCCGACGCGGCCTTCATCGCCTCGACCATGGTTCCCGTGCGCGCGTTCGAGAACCAGCTCTTCATCGCCTATGCGGACAATTGCGGCACCGATGGCCGTTTTGCCTATCAGGGCATGTCGACCATCGTCGCGCCCGACGGCACCGCGCTGGCATCGGCGCCGGTCGAGGGCGATGCGCTGATCGTCGCCGATGTCGATCCCGATGCCTTTGCGGCGAGCCGGGAGCGGAACAGCTATCTGCGCGATCTGGACGGTTAGACGCCGGCTTTGAGCCGGTCGATCAGTGCATCGAGCATCGCGTCGCACCGCTCAAGCTGTTCCACCGTCACGAACTCGTCGGGCTTGTGGCCCTGGGCCATGGAGCCGGGACCGCAGATCACCGTCTGGATGCCGAGATCGCGGTGAAACAGCCCGCCTTCGGTGCCGTAGGCGAGCTTGATCGTGCCGTTGCCGCCGGTCAGCGATTTGACGAAGGACACCACTTCCGCGTCGACGGGCGTCTCGAGGCCGGGATAGGAAAAGAGCGTTGCGATCTCGATTCCGCTTTCGGGCGCAACGTCATGATATTGCTCGGCAATCGCGTGTGCGGCTTCACTGATCGCAGCGATCATCGCCGCCGGATCGTCCTCGGCGAGACTGCGGATCTCGAAGTCGAGGACACAGCGATTGGGGACGATGTTGACCTGCACGCCGCCGGTTATGATGCCGGCGTGCACGGTCGTGTAGGCAATGTCATAGGCGGCGTCCGATGCGCCATGGTCGGCGATGTCTGCCTGCATTTGGCGCAGACGGGCCACCAGATCGGTCGCCAGATGGATGGCGTTGACGCCGGTCGGCGCCAGCGCGGAATGGGCCTCGCGTCCGGTGCAGACGGCGCGCAATGCGGTCTTGCCCTTGTGGCCGGTGCCCACCTGCATGGAGGTCGGCTCTCCGACGATGCAGAAGCGCGGCCGGAAGGGCGCTTTGGCGAGCATGCCGATCAGGCTGCGCACGCCGATGCAGCCGATTTCCTCGTCATGAGAAAACGCCAGATGCAGCGGTGTTTGCAGATCGGTTCGGGCCACCTTGAGGGCAGCGGCGGTCGCGGCGGCGACAAAGCCCTTCATGTCTGCCGTGCCGCGTCCGAACAGTTTGCCGTCGCGCTCGGTCATCTCGAACGGCGGGACGGTCCAGGCCTGGCCTTCGACCGGCACGACGTCGGTGTGCCCCGAAAGGGCGATGCCGGCCCGGTCGGCCGGGCCGATCGTGGCATAGAGATTGGCTTTGCTGCCGGTCGTGTCGGCGATCAGCTGAACGTCCGCTCCGGCGTCCATCAGCAGGTCGCGCAGGTAGGTGATCAGCGGCATGTTTGGCCGGTCGCTGACCGTGTCGAAGGCGATCAGGCGGCCGAGAAGTTCGCGTGTGTTCATGTCTTCCCTGCGCAGGCTCGATGGCGTTCCCGTCTCATCGTCCATCGGTGCGCCGGGCACAAGGGCCCGCCGTCCGATCCCCACCGAGCTCAGAATGTCGGCGGGGTGCAGGCGCTGACGATGGTGCAGGGCTTGCCGGAGACGTTGCGGAACCGGTGCGGCTGTCGGCTGTCGAACAGATAGGCATCGCCCTTGGTCAGGGTCCGTGTATCTCCGCCCACGGTGATCTCGATTTCACCCTCGATCACGATGCCGGTTTCCTCGCCCTCATGGGCATAGCGTTCCGGACCCGTGTCGGCGCCGGGCGGATAATGCTCGTGCAGCATCTGGATTGTGCTCTGGCCGGCCGCGCCGACCTGGCGGAAACTGATGCGGCTGGCCGCGTCGGGCTTTTGGGTGCCGAATGTCGTCTCGGGATTGATCTCGCGCAGTTCATTGGCCTTGTAGTGCCATTGGCCTGTGAAGGTTTCGTCGTCGGCAAAAAAGTCGCCCAGCGACATGCCGAGCCCGGTGAGGATCTTCTTGAGCGTGGCGACCGAAGGGCTGGTGCGGCCCTGCTCGATCATCGAGATCATCGAGCCGGTGATGCCGGCGGCGGCTGCCAGTTGGCGTTGTGACAGGCCGCGCTCCTCGCGGACGCCGCGCAGGCGTTCGGCCACCTCGTTTTCGGTCACGCGCCCCTCCCGGATCGATGCGATGGCTCATCTTGTGTCATGGCAGGTCGGTTTCGAGCAAGCGTGCGTCGGCAGTATGATTAATATATTTGACAATCTGATCCATATATTGAAAGGCTGGCACCGATATTCGCTTTGAGGAGCCCGCCATGATCAACGCCCAGATTCAGGCCCGCCGGACGGACGCCATTGCGCGCGGTGTCGGCATGATGACACAGGTCTATGCGGACCGCGCGGAGAATGCGGAAATCTGGGATGCCGAGGGCCAACGCTTTATCGATTTCGCCTCGGGTATCGCGGTTCTGAACACCGGGCACCGGCATCCGAAGGTGATGGAAGCCGTGCGTGGCCAGCTCGAACGCTTCACGCACACCTGCCATCAGGTCGTGCCCTATGAGAACTATGTCGCGCTCGCCGAGCGTCTGAACGCAATCGTGCCGGGTCCGACGCCGAAAAAAACGGTGTTCGTGACGACCGGCGCGGAGGCGTGCGAAAACGCGGTGAAGATCGCGCGGGCCGCGACGGGCCGCAACGCGGTCATTGCCTTTTCGGGCGGCTTTCATGGCCGCACCTTCATGGGCATGGCGCTGACGGGCAAGGTCGCGCCCTACAAGCTGGGCTTTGGCGCGATGCCGGCGGACGTGTTCCATGCGCCGTTTCCGGTGCCGCTGCACGGCGTGACCGAGGACGATGCGCTGGCCGCGCTCGACAAGCTTTTCAAGGCCGATGTCGATCCGGCGCGGGTGGCGGCGATCGCCATAGAGCCGGTGCAGGGCGAGGGCGGTTTCTACCAGGCGCCCGCGCGCTTCATCCGGCGCCTGCGTGAAATCTGCGACGAGCACGGCATTTTGCTGATCATGGACGAGGTGCAGACGGGCTTTGCGCGCACGGGCAGACTGCTTGCGACCGAACATTATGACATCGAGCCGGATCTGGTGACCATGGCCAAGAGCCTGGCCGGCGGCTTCCCGCTGGCCGCAGTGACAGGCAAGGCGGACATCATGGACGCGCCTGCGCCGGGCGGTCTTGGCGGCACTTATGGCGGCAGTCCGATCGGCATCGCCGCAGCCCATGCGGTGCTCGACGTGATCGAGGAGGAGGGGCTGTGCGCGCGGGCAGACCAGCTTGGTGCGCGCCTCAAGCAGCGCCTCGAAAGCCTGCGGGACGACGTACCGGAGATCGCCGATATTCGCGGGCCGGGTTTCATGAACGCGGTCGAATTCAACAATGCGGCAACCAAATCCCCCGATGCGGCGTTTGCAACCCGCGTCCGCACCGAAGCTTTTTCGCGGGGCTTGATCCTTTTGACGTGCGGCGTCTATGGCAACGTCATCCGGTTTCTCGCACCGATCACGATCCAGGACGAGATTTTCTCCGAGGCGCTCGACATTCTCGAAGCGTCCATCCGCGCTGCACGGGAGGCATGAATGGCGATTTCCGATAAACTTCTGGGCAAACTCACAGACCCCGGCCTGCTGCCGGCCGCCGGCTATCTGAACGGCGAATGGATCGCAAAATCCGACAGCGGCAAGACGTTCGACGTCACCAACCCGGCCAGTGGCGAAACGATCGCCACCCTGCCGGACATGGGCGCCGCCGAGACTGCGCGGGCGATCGATGCGGCCTATGTCGCGCAGAAGCAATGGGCCGCCAAGACCGCCAAGGAGCGGTCGGCGATGCTGCGCAAGCTCAATGATCTGATGCTTGCCCATGTCGACGATCTGGCGGTCATCCTGACCTCGGAAATGGGCAAGCCGGTGGGCGAGGCCGGCGGCGAAATCCGTTATGGCGCGTCCTATCTGGAATGGTTCGCCGAAGAGGCCAAGCGGATCGATGGCGACGTGCTGCCTGGCCAGCAGGCCGACAAGCGCGTTGTCGTCCTCAAGCAGCCGGTCGGCGTCGTCGGCATGATCACGCCGTGGAACTTCCCGAACGCCATGCTGGCGCGCAAGATGGCGCCGGCGCTGGCGGTCGGTTGCGCCGTCGTCTCAAAGCCGGCCGCACAGACGCCGCTGTCGGCCATTGCGATCGCGGTCCTGTGCGAGCGAGCGGGCCTGCCGGCGGGGCTGTTCAACCTGATCGTCGGCACGAGCGGGTCCGAGGTCGGCAAGGAAATGTGCGCCAATCCCAAGCTTCGCAAGCTCAGCTTCACCGGGTCGACCGAAGTGGGCCGCATCCTGATGCGGCAGGGCGCCGACCAGATTCTTAAGCTGAGCCTTGAACTGGGCGGCAACGCGCCGTTCATCGTCTTCGACGATGCCGATCTGGACGCAGCCGCCAAAGGCGCGATCATGTCGAAATACCGCAATGCCGGCCAGACCTGCGTCTGCGCCAATCGCATCTATGTGCAGGACAGCGTCTATGACGCGTTTGCCGAAAAGTTCGCGGCGCAGGCGGAAGCGCTC